AAATACAAGGATTATTATTATTTATTTATTATCAGGTCGAGTGAGCTGGAATTTCTGGATAGACGGAATCTACATACAGAATTTTTAAAAAAGTTTCCCCTTTTCCGCTGGGTCTGAATTCCAGAGACCTGGAGTCCTCAAGGTGTGGGTTTACTGTAATAACAATCATAAAATCTTTGCATTTAATATAGGCTCTTATCGATACCTCTTCAATACATCTCAAAGCAATTCACACAATATACTGTACTGTAAAATGGTATGACTGTGTGTATCCTTTTCACAGGATTGGGTCTTAGAGCGCTGTACAGTGGTGAGATTGGATGCCTGTCATGGGAGAAAGGTGATGGGGGGGTGGGGGGGGGGATTGGGGGACGGAATGACCATAGAATAAAGTCCTACCATTTTCTGTAAGAATTAGCAAAATGTATATGTTCAAACCGTAGTTGGTTAATTCATAGTGCTCCTGGAATAAACCAAAAAATTTGCAATCTTCCTACAAAAACAAAAACATCACTGCATCTCGCATCATTTAACAAGAACAACAACAACAAGATTACATTTGTATATTGCCTTTCAGGCCGAGAGGACGTCCCAAGGCACTGGACAGTGTACAGCATTTCAGACTTGAGCTGGGGTCATTGGGGGAGAAGGGAGGGGAAGGGAAGGGGGGTTACCGATGGCATGGTCGAAGAGGAGGGTTTTGAGGCGGGACTTGAAGGAGGCTAAGGAGGTCAAATGGCCATAAAAATGCACAACCTTGATATAAATATCTACTTTCTAGCAAAAAGAATCCAGCAGCTGGTTTTCATTAGCAGGTAATTTTATGAATGCCTTGTCCTGTATTTTGTAAGCTAGAAAATGTCCAACTAGTGTACGAGAAAAGCTTTTATTGGCATAAAAGTGCTATCCCGCATCTTTGCTGTTTATAGATGAAGCCTTTAAAAAACTTGTGATTAATTAAAGGTGCTAACACACGTTGAGCTAATTTGAACTGAGTTTGAATGCATTGCAGTTCCACCATCCTTGCTGTTAATTTATTTTCTGTGTGCTTATCCCCTTAGAAAGATTCTCCCCATATCCTATCCACTTTTATTGTCCTAATATGAAGCTGTGAATATGAAACTGGGTTTGAATTTTGTAGCAAAACATCCGCATCCAAATTTTCCAAACCCTTTGAAATTTTAAAAATCCCTACCTATTTCCTACCACCCCTCCACCCGAGTTCCCAGTCTTTTCTTTTCAAGAATGGCCAATCTTTCTTCATAGCTCTAGGCTCTAAATTCTGAAATTATTCCAGAATTCATCCTTTGGTCTTTTGTGAAACACATAGCTTTTAAGCTCATCCTAAGGCAGGAATTCTTGCTCTCTCAGTGAATACATTTGGACCCCAGCTCGGGTCCAAATCTCTGATTGTCCAGCACCTTGGGAAGTCCTCCCGATGTGAATGGCGCTGTACAAAAATGTAATTTTGTATTGTATTTGTATTGTACATCCATTGGCACCCCAGCAGATCAACTTGATGATCATCATTCTCGTGTACAAATCCCTTCATGATGTTAAACCTCCATACTTCTGTAATCTTCTTCACTTTCAGCCTTCTGCTTGCCCCTCCGCTCTGCAAATGGGGCGGAGGGGGCTGCGTTTTTTGCCCCTCCGCCCCACTACCGGTGGCTGAGCCCTCTGCCACTATGCCCCCATCTTCTGCAACTCCCTCCCTCAACTTCTCTATCTCATTCCATCTCTATTGGTGACTGCATGTTTTTCTAACAGAACACAGCAACCAATTTGCACATAGCAACATTCACAAACAACCATGAAGTGAAAGGGACGATCATTGACACAATTATAGTGCTATAGCATCTTTAACAATTAACTGAACAGGCAAATGGGACCTCAGTTTAACGTCGCATCTGAAGGGCAGCACCTCCAGCATTGCATTGGAGTGTCAGCCTAAACCATATGAGTTCAAAAGTGCCAATGTGGGGCTTGAACTCACAACTTTCTGACTCAGGGACGAGAGCGTTGCCAGCTGAGTCTGGTTAACACCTGACAACATTTACAGTGCCTGTTTTGGGGAGCAAAGGAAAAATTTAATTACATATAAGGCTGTGGTAATTAGGAAGGCGATACTTGAAGAATAGTGTCATTTGAAAGGCTGACTGTAAAACTATACACTCAGATGGGTTTAATTTTATAGTTTTGAGAAATAATACCCTACTGATGCTAACAAAAAGCTACTCTTGAATTATGGAAATAAATCCATTGAAATGTTGTAGTAGTCAAGTACTTAAGTAGAAGTTAAGTTCTGCTCCACTTTAAAGGATTTTTCCAAACACCCCTAATAAGCACAAACATGGTGTTAAATATCATTACCACAAATCTTTCCAGTTTTCCACATTGAAAGTCTAGTTCAGATTCTCTCAACAGATCATTTATATTAGGAAAAACAAGTGCTCCATGGATGGGATAGAACTTATAATAATAATCCTTGAATTTGATAAAGCACCTTATCACATTGTCGAGACATCTTAAAGCTCTTCAAAGTATGTACTGTAAAGTGGATTGACTATGTATTTTGTAGGTGAAGCACAGCAGCCAGTTACGCACAACAATGTCCAACAAATAGCCATGGAGTGAGGGGTCAATTTTATTTGGGGAATTATTGGCCAGGACACTGGGAGAAACTCCCTTCTCTTTTCAAATTGTGCCATGAGATCTTTAACATCCACCTGAACAGGCAGACAGAGCCTCGGTTTAATACGTCATCCCAAGGATGGCAGCTCGGTGAATGCAACCCCCACCCCAGCACTGTATTGGAGTGTCAGCTTAGCTTGTGTGATTCCAAGATCCGACGTGAGGTTTGAATCCACTGCCTTCTGACTCAGAGGCGAGAGTGCTACCACTGAGCCAGACTAAGGCACAACTTTCCAAGAAGGAAGCTGACAGACATATAGCAGTTAAGTTGACTCATTGCTCAGTGTCAAAGCAGTGTTAGTTTATTCTTTACTCACTGTCATAAGTGTTTGACAGCAATAAAAAAGGTAAATAGGAATGCTGGGCTATATTGCAAACCAGTTGAATTTAACTCCATGTTTGCGGATGATATCACCAAGCGGGGGTAAATATTGAAGAGGAGAGGACCATGGACAGAGCACCGAGGAATGCCGCACGTGACTGTGCGGGGGATGGAGGAGCAGCCGTTCATAGACACAAAGCGGAGATATTGGGAAAGGTAAGATTTTAACCAGACAATGGCAGGACCGTGAAGATTGAGCTGAGAGGAGAGGTGGTGGAGAAGGATAGAATGATCGACAATGTAGAAGGCGGCAGAGAGATCGAGGAGACAGAAGGAGCCCTGGTCACAGGTGGACAAAATGTCGTTTTTGACTTTGACCAAGCCTGTGTCTGTACTGTGGACAATACAGCAACTAAACAACAACAACTTGGATTTATATAGCACCCTTCACACAGGATAGCATCTTGGAGCATTGAAAGCATAGATGGGTTTGAACTTGTCAATTGGACTGTATAGTGCTCTGTCAGGCCACTCATTTCTCTAACATCCTCTTTGCTGTTCCCTGCGCTGCCTCTTGGGAAGCCCTTGTATGCCGTAGTATATGCAACTGTATGCAATACTTTAGATGCAGCCAGACCAGATTATTATATAGCTTGAATATGACATATGGGGATCTGAACTCAACTGATTTAGCAGTATAGCAAAGCATCCCATTTGCTTTGTTCATTGCTGCCTCATACTGTTTTGATATGCCAAGCGATGAGTCAACTAAAACTCCTTGATCTCTTTTATCACCATGGCAACTTTTATCCCATGGAATACATGCATTTCCTATTCTTATTACCTATATGTAATGCCTTGAATTTATCTGTATTTGCCAATGATCAGCCCATGTACATATCTTATCAGAGTCTCATTGTAAGACTTTTGCCGCTGGTTCTGATTTCAGTTTCCCCCTATCTTCGTGTCATTTGGAAGCATTAGCTTCTCCTACTAACAAAAGGACACAATAAATACTAACAAGGTAATAATCCTTGCATTTGATATAGCGCTTCACGGAATATACTGTAAAGTGGATTGACTGTATATTTCTGGGCAAAAAGCAGCAGCCAATTGTGCACAGGAGTGGCCCATAAACAGTCGTGGATTGAAGGGACCAATTTATTATTTTTTTTCTTGAGGGATTATTATCAGGCATGTGGAAACTTGTCCAAGGTTTCACCCTGCCGAGAATCAAACCCAGGTCTCGAGCTTGGCAGGCGAGTGCGCTAACCACTGAGCTACAGGACTCCACAAGCTTTGCCCTTGAGCTGATTTAATCACTGTGGCACAAAGCAGAGGGCATCTCTGGCAGGCAGGGCGAAACCTTGGGCAAGTTTCCTTACTCCACACTCCTAATAATAATCCCTCCAAAAACCAAAAACAATAATAAATTGGTCATTTTCAATCTACGACTGTTTGTGGGACATTGCTGTGCGCAATTGGCTGCCGCGTTTGCCCACAAATATACAGTCAATTCACTTTACAGTGTGTTCTGTGAAGCGCTTTGGGACGTCCTCCTGACGTGAAAAGCGCTATATCAAATGCAAGGATTATTATTATTATCTGATTGATTTACCACTAATTGTCCCTCTGGTGATTGTTCTAAGTGTCTCCTTTCTAACAGCAAGATCACCATAAAGTCAGGCCTGCATCCCATCACTTGATGAAACTGTATCACTCTATATCACTGGTCTCCTGGGGTTTCAAACATCACATATTGTTTAATAATTTATTTATCCTTATGTATATATATATGATTCTATGTGTATTTCACTGAGTGCATGCAGCACCTAAAGGAAATCACATCTGATTTGGGGGAGGGATTTCATTTCAAAGTGACAGGTGATTATTTAATATGTATTACAGTTTGTCATAAAAAGGGATACTGCCACTGATTACATAATTGATTTGAAACCTGAAGAGCATTTTCTTTTATTGACAGATTTGACGAAGATTCCTATTGGAATTCCAGCTGATGTTCTTGAAATCAATCTGGGCAGTAACAAAATCAAGCAGCTGAATGGCAGAGATTTCATACACTTTAAGAAACTGGATACGTTAAATCTCAGCAACAATCACATAGAAACTATCGATCCTGGTAAGAAAATGCCTTTATATAGGTGTAACATTTGCAACGTTCCTTAACCTACTCCTTGTGTTAATCAGTGCCAGCGGAAAGTATAAATAATACAGGGGGACCAAAAAGTCATGATATCTGCCGAAAAAAAANTCATTTCTTTAAGACTTATTAAACATTGTAATGGTATCAAAACTTTTTGATCACCCTGTATAATATAAAGGATGTGATTATAGGTTAACATTTCTTTACATGACATAAATCACTCACCCAAGTAACCTGTACACAGCTCCCTAGACCGCTGCTCCCATTCAGCCAAGTACTCTCTGCTCTGTTGGTTGTCCTTGGTAAACAAAACTGTGGACACACACAAACTGGAAGTGCAGTACACCCAGCTTCTGGTGCTGGTTAACCAGCTTCTTGCACTAAAAAATGGCTTACTTGCAGACCTGCAGGTCACCCACGATGTCACTCTCCGTACATTACGTGCTTATGCACAAGAAGCACGCGTTGTTTGCAAGTGTCGTGCACATCATTTTTGTGTTACTTTAACAACACTGCCTCTGGGATATCGGACCCAGACCACCGATTTCTAACAATAAACAATAATAATCCTTGAATTTGATATAGCGCCTTATCACATCTTCGAAGCGCTGCAAAGCGCTTCACAGAATACACTGTAAAGTTTAGTGACCGTGTGTTTTGTGGGCAAAATGCGGCAGCCAATTGTGCACAGCAGTGTCCCACAAACAGTTGTGGATTGATAATGTAATAAAGTAGGTTTCCTCCATTTTTTAAAAAATACTCTGGAAGTAATTTACTCATGGGTGATCTTTGCGTAAATCCTGAGGCTTTTGTTGCCATATTGCCTGCAACTCCTTTTGATCTGCCATCTGCGCACAGATTACATGGGTGAGTGAATTAATCTTAGCAAACAGTAATGATAACATTTACATGCAAGTTTCAAGACATTTACTTCAGTTACACAGGGAATACAATCAAGGATGGTCCAATAGTTCACAAACTATAACAAACCCTTACTATGTTCAAGGTACTAAAGAGGTAATGTTTACCCGGGTTCAAATGAGCATAGAATGTGATTAAATAAATTGAGTATATTCTATGCAATTTTCAGTTCTAAATGTGTGTGATTAATTTTAATTCATTAATTAAATTTGAGACGTCTCAATGATGCGAAGAGGCGCTATATCAAATACAAGGATTATTATTATTATTAATACAAAAAATCTAATTTATTTTGGGTACTGTCAGCCACATAAACTGTGCTCCATTGCTTAAATTTACAACTATGAACTTTATATTATGCAATGACAACAATTTTAAAACAAATACGGAGGTTTTCCATCATACAAGACTACAACAAAATATATTGCCCTTTTAAGGCATTTCCAAGTTCTAAATTTATGTACTTTTAAACTTTCAGCTGCATTTACTGGTCTCCTGAGGCTGAAGACGTTGGATCTATCAAACAATAATCTTCACAGCTTTAAATACGGAGTGTTGGAGGACTTGTACTTTATAGAGAAACTGGTGCTCACAGAAAATCCATGGAAATGTGATTATCAAATCCATTACTTGGCATACTGGCTGCAGGTTCACTACACAGTACAGTTTGAAGGCCTTGAGTGTACAATGCCTAATGAGTTCAAAGGTTGGACTGTACAGAGATACATCAAAAAATATTACGAGGAATGCCCTAAGGAAAATGTGATTAATAGCTATGATTATGATATATCATCTTTAGAAGAGGAAGAGCACGGAATCAGAACAAGAATAATACCCTGACCCTTTAAGCATCATGTACAACACATTGTGTAATAAAGAGTTACATATTGCATGACAATGCACCAACATGTCACACAAACATTTACAGATGTTACCTAGCATCACTTATTTTGACCCTTCTCCTCCCTATCATAGTTCTGTAAAAAGTAGCTTGCTGAAAAGTATTCTTCTCACGTATTCGAGGAATTTTGTGTAGTTGTTTTCGTTGTAGGACAGCTACTTTGCAAGAGTACAATTTTCTTTGTTTGTGTCATTTGTATTTGTATTTGATCCATCTGAAAGCAATCATCTGGTGCAGTGGTGGCCAATCCACGGCCCGCGGGCCGGAAGGTGCCAACCCAACATTCACACCAGTCTAAGTGAGTCTGTTCTAAATCAATGTTTTGTTTTCAGTTTTTTCTTGATTTGATATTGCTTGATTTATGGCATAAATAAATATATTCAATCAAGAAAATTTATTTTATTGTCCGACCAAAAAGCTGGGCCACCACTGATCTAGCGTATACCCAATATGAAAAAGTCCTGAATGGAAGATTTACCACCAAATGATGCCAGGACATAACTGGTGAGAGCTATGATATCCTTTCTAGAATATTTTTCTTTTTTTTTGCTTTGCGCCTTTAAAGTGAGGAATCAAGGTAGGAAATTCTCAAAGATTTGCCATAGAATCGGAACAGACATTATAGCCAGCTCCTTTACAAAAACAACAACAAGATTACATTTGTATAGCGCCTTACATTTGTATAGCGTCAGGAGGACGTCCCAAGGCGTACAGTATATCCCACGTGTACAGCATATCAGACCTGAGCTTACATCAGGGTTGTCCAATCTTTTGGCTGCTGCAGACCAGGTTCCATGAGAACACAAGAATTTACTCAGCGAAAGAAGACCAAGGTTTATCTAGTTCGAATTCCACCATCCTGGCAGTCGTTTGACATATCATGTCCCTCACTATATACTGTATCCCAAGATATTATTTTATTCTATTTGTTCTTGAAATAAACAACATTTACTGCTTCCACTGTCTCCCTAGGGAGCCTGTTCCATAAGTTTACTACTCGCTCACTGAAGTAGTATTTCCACAGATTTGTTCTGAATCAACCCAGTGATTTATAAGGTGGCAGGATTGACCCACTGTTTTGGCTCAATACTGCCATTTTAATACAGCCCAGCATCTGATTTGCTTTACTCACTGTTACCGAGTACTGTTGCGATAGCTTCAATTTATTGTCAATCAGGAATCCCAGGTCCTTTTCATTTTCCGTACAGATTATTTTCTTACCATTTAAATAATAGCCCCTTCCTGGATTTTTTGTTCCCATGTGAAGCACTTTGCATTTCTCTGCATTAAATTTCATCTGCCACTGATCTGCCCAATTCCCAAGAATGTTCAAGTCCTCCTGTAACCTATCATGTTTATCTTTGAGGTCTACCACCTTCATTAGCTTTGTGTCATCTGCAAATTTAGCCACCGTGTTTGTGACTCATAGCTCCACTTTGAGAAAGGTCCCAGGGCCACATAAGCAATATTTTGTGTTTCCCTTCCAAAAGTATAACAGCATATACACAATGTCTATGTTCAAGCCTCGTGTTGGGGGATTCAACTCACTGTCTAGATAAGTAGTGGCCAACTTTTATGGTCAGCCAACAAAATACATTTTCTTCATTGAATATTTCTTGATTATTCCATAAATCACTCTACACTAAAACTACGTCCAGAGCAGCATAACTGACCATTTTTTTAAAGTTATGCAATGAAGCATGACTTGCATTTTTGCAATTTTGTTTCAGGCATACAGGAAACTGCTTGTAAATGATGCCTGATGATTAGCATCTAAAACCATTACACTTATTAAAATATAGTCGAAAATGGTCTTTCATGACCAAAATGTATGCCGTTCGTACAGTATTTGTTTGGGAAACTCAACTTGTCTGCAAGATAGTCTACTGATATAATATGTATGTGATTTTATACTATTATCTGTATTAGGAAATCAATTCACATCATATATGTAGTGTTTACCCTAAAGTTTTATGCACCTTTCTTTCATGGAATCATTTTGCAGGCCAAAAAGTTGATTTACACAAAAGAGCAATAAAGATTTGCTACTAGTTTGTAGTGTTTACTTGCAATTTTTAAATATATATGAAAAGTATATTTCATTCAATTCCTTGGCATGTAATGATGACTCGGTTTTAGGGCAGATTGGGTGAGATACCAGGAATATATTTCACTTGAAAAGAAAAAAGGAACTTCTGCGATACTCATTTTAAATCAGGCATAAGAGGGGTGGGTTCATGCGTGGCAGAGCTTCAAACAACAAACATTAAGGAATGCTTACCATATCCTTGCTCAAGCATTCATTGACTTATCATTTTTAAAATTTTAAATTCTGCACAAAAAATAAATCCGCTGATGTAATACCCCATGAAATCGCACAATATTTTACTCAAAAGAAGCCTCTAGTTTGGTTACATTGATGCAAACCCTTTAAAAACTCTGTGCTTGATCTACATTCACCATCTCAGATGTGCAAATGATTCTATCTAAGTGAATCTGAACAGTTCGGATAACGCATTGAAACCATCTGGTTTCAAGTGGTCTCATTGATGTTTTTTCCAGCCTTTTGATGATCAAACCAATTATTATTCTTGGTAGAAAGATGCCCATTACCTCGTTTCTTTCTGATTTTTATAAATTGCACATAAAGGCAGGTCATTCTCCTGCAAAGAAACAAGGAGAAATAGTAGTGTTTCCAAATTATTGGGAAAGTAGCAAGAATCAAAGACACCACATTAAAGGGTATATGTGATGCCTAAAGGGGCAAGTCAAATTTCTATAGTATGTGCTTTATTAGTTAAACCTCTGTGCATCATTTGCAGATTTTGAAACACATTAGTGATTCATCACCGAACAATAGTTGAGGAACTGTTTTCTTTTATTTTAAAATTCTGAATATGCCAAAAAAGGGCAGTCAGTAGCCAAGGTCAGAGGAAACCTTTTTTTTACACTGATTTGAAAACACTACTATTTCTTCTGGTTTCTTCACAGGGGAATGACCTGCCTTTGTAGGCAAACTGAGGTCACTTTGTCTCAATTTTCAATTTATTTTCTCTTTTAAAAAATATAGAGATGGGGAAGTACTTATGCTAAATTTACTCCTTCTACCCTTTCCTTCAATAATTCTTCATTGTAAGTATCATCACCTGTTAACAAAACGGAGCATAGTGTCTGTTTGGTGTCTGTCATGATACCCACTGCTTGCACCAAAAATACTAGCTTTGACCTCCAGCTACAATGTACAACATTACTAATAAATACATCTCATTAATTTCAAGGATTTAATTTTTGAATTCAGGATGATGATTCAAAACATACTATAGAAATTTGAATTGCCCCTTTAGGCACTCACACATACCCTTTGATGTGGTCTTGTGGTTTATGAGGCCACATGAACCTCTTGATTTTATGTATTGCCTTTTAGTCACTCCCAAATGAATGCAAGTAGTTTGATATAGCTCTAAACTGATTGAAGATCAGACTTGAGAAAGTTTGTAAGCCTTTGCTTGACACTTATACATCTGATTCTCACATGTGTTTGCAGTTGTGCTGCAATTTACTTTGTGCCTGGGTTGCTGCAAACATGGGTCCAAACAAGATTGAGTATCTGCTGTCAGGCTTAAACAGAAATGATGTCACCTCACAGTAAAATTTAAATAGATGTCAAGTGATGAAATCTGGTGAATGTACTCACTAACAGATTTAAAACTTGGCCAACTGAGGTTTGTACAACTGCGAAGGCTTAGATGGATTGCATAGGGACGATACTGCCGCAGAAGGTATGTCACTCCATTGTCTTTTATCCAATCTTTTATAGGATAAAAGTCCATCTGAAATGAAAACAAACCACCATGAAAGCACAGTAATAAGCCATGAAGTAATAACAATAGCAATAAAAGTTGTATACTACAGCTGAAGATTGAAAAGGGATGGGTCATGTATGATTATCTTCATTCTTAGAATCACAGCACTCTCATTTAGGGCATTTAAAAAGGAATTAGACAAAAACATGTTGAGGAAGAGTAGTAGAGGACATGGGGAAATAACAGGAATTAAGATTAGGATATATGGCTTCTCAGATCTGCAAATACAAAATAATGGGCCGAATGGCCACTTATTGAGTGTTGGTTTCTGTGATTCTATGTTGAAATATCTCAAAGTGCTTCACACAATGAGGTGCTTTGAAGTTTAGTGACTGTTTTTATGTAATGAATGCAGCACCTAGACCATGCCACAAACATTCTAAAAATAGCAATAACATGAACAACCGATCATTTTTTCCATGAATTGGATGAAGGAATATCAGCCAGGACTTTGTGAGAACTCACTACTCTTTGAATAATGCTCTCAGAATGTTAATCTGAAGCATTGGATTAATATCCTTTGTTTCTATCATACAGATAATAACAATGATAATGCTATCCTATGATATAGCATCTTCACCTTGGGAGGATGTGTCAAGTTGAGTCACAGGATTTACTGCAAAGTGTGTTTGGAGGTGAACATGGCAGCCATTTTGTGCAAAAAAGGAGATTTTTGTTTGGACTATAAAAAATACCCCCAAAAGATTGGTGTAAATCAAAAATCTTCAAAAATTAGATAAAAGATTTTTTTTAAAAAGTGAGCTTTACTTAGCATTTCAAATCATGCCAAAATTGTACCATAAAAATGGCAAGGATCTCTTGTAATTGTGTGGTTTCATTATAGATTTCAAATTATGTTCTGTTTGGTATCCTTTCAATTGTCATTCAAACAGCCAAAACAACTTTCTATGAAAAAAAGAAGAAAAATATTTATCCAAGTATAATAAAATGTTGAGTTTCCTTCTTCTCCTCAACCCAGTGTGGGTTCTGAATTATTGAAGTTACCTTGTTCCAGAGAACACTTGTCTGAGTAATCACCTTCCAGGACTGACAAACCTGGGAACAGTGCGCCAAATCTATAATGCCAAGAAACATGAAGATCTATAAATGGAAATGAAAATGAGAATACGGTTATTCAAACAAAAGTTCTGAGGGTCTACCTGGTAAATGCGCTTACCAAAGCTAAGTAGAACTTGGTTTCCTTTGATCTTGTCATTCAAAATTAGCAAGAACTATAAATGGTATAACATGATTCCAGCTCGTTTTCTTACTTGAAATAAGTGACATGCTTCAAATTTGTGTCAAGATCCAATTTTATCACGTTTTCCAATTATCCTGGATCTAATCAATCAGGATTTAGACAGTCAATCTAGGTGTGTGTTCTAGGAATGTGCAGCATCAGATTACCAACTCTCTTAAAATGATAAATAAATAATCTTAATAAATGCGCTATTAAGAATCTTTAATCTGAAATTGGGATCTTGAAATCTGAAATCTGAAATCTGAAAATCTGAAATCTGAAAATCTGAAATCTGAAAAGTACAGTTTCTGTGATGAACACAAGTCTACTTGCAAGTAAGTAGCAAACTTAATAACACCGGCAGCCAAATAGATTTTTTACAAGATCATTAAGTGGGCTCAACTTATTGCAGTTTGTTCGATTTGTGAGTTATTTTTATTTTTAACAAAAAGCATCTCAAGGTAAAGACAAGATCACAAGATTGTTTCAGATGACGCAAGAACAACACCATCCTCTGACTCAGAAGCCACAGTACAGTCAACTGAACCAGTCTCAATACATTTTAAAAAATCAAGCAGTTGAACCTCATAGATAAAATATATGTTAAAACGTTATCAACTAGGTTTATGTTAGTTTTATGTTCATAAAATAATCGCTTGACATATTTTAATTGTTCTATTATTGAAGTATTCCAAAACTAATGACAAACAAAATTGGGATACAAATATTCACCTTTATTGCAGCTTGCCAAGGTAGACTGGAAACATCATCTTTTGCCTCTCCTTGACCAAATAATTGGGTATCACTGTCATCATCCAAATCTCCTCGTTCCAAACGCTATAGAGAGGAAACACAGTAAGATTCAAAATGTGAGCAACTCTCCTTAGTTACATATTGCCACCCATTCAATTAGAATGTCAAAAATGCAGGTAGATAATTTAGATCCAGTAAGCATCATTAAAAGTAAGAACTCAAGTTAAGTGTGGGGATCAAACTAAATTTTTATAGGTGACTTTAATGTATCAAGAAATGGGGAGGATTATAAACTCAGTAAAAGGAATGAAAATATATTTCTGGATATAATGCAGGATTGTTAAGAGGGGAGGCGACATTAGACCGGATATTAATGGAACAACTAAAGAATTGTGGAGCAGATTACAGTGAGAGAGTACTTGGCAAATAATAATCATATTATGATTGAGTTTCAGGCCAGGCTTGAGATGGAGAAGCAGAAGAGTTCAAAACAGATTTTAAACTTTTACAAGTTGTCAGTTCCTTTCTTATTCCCTCAAAACGTATTTGAGGGAATAAGAAAGGAACTAACAACTTGCATTTATATAGCGCTCTTCACGCAGCTTAGCATCTTGGAACTAGACAGCCTACACTGAACCATATTATTAGAAGAGTGCAGAGGATGAACACAAAATGACAGAAACTGTATAACAGTAAAAAAATCAAACAGAGATATTAGAGTAATTTTTGAGTTGGAATTGTTTCATTCACACCAACTCTTTAGATTTCCACTTGAACACTGACATCTGTTTCTACTTCCATGCGCTCTAGTGCAGCCAAAAGAGCCTCGCAGTGCCTGGCAGGAGTTTGGGTCCAAGTAGAATTCCAGAAGATTGGTGTGAAACATCTGTAGGATTTGCTTTTTGTAAATCTAGCAAATTGCTCCCAATTATCCTTAACATAATTAATAATAATAATCCTTGTATTTTATATTTTGCTGTATCATGTGGAAACATCTCAAAGCGCTTCAGTTTTCTGAAATACTGTGTATTTGTAGGTGAACACAACAGCCAATTTTCACAAAGCAACGTCTAACAAGCAGGGATAAAGTGAATGATGAATTTTATTTGGGGATTGTTGGCCTGGACCCTAGAAGAAATTCCCTTCTCTTTTTGAGTAGTGTCATGGGATCTTTAACGACCACCTGAATAGGCAGACAGGACCTCAGTTGAACATCTCATGTGACAGATCATACTTCCAACAATGGAGCACTTCTTTCATCACTGCATTTTGTGGGAGAAGCGGAGAGAGAGAGCAAGCAAGTACGCTCAAAACCATTTAGCTTTTGTCTTCTCAATTTTGGCTTTGCTCAAAGTAATATAACTACAGTTACCTTATTGATATCTTTTTTGGAGGATAATCTTCTTGGCACTAGTTTAGATAACTGTCATTCTCTAAATAAAATAAAATAAAATAAACATTTCTCCCAGTGGGTCCAGCAGGATCTCCTGAGGTTGACCCAGTTAGTTAGCACTTTTACCTCAGTCAGAAGGTTGTGGGTTCAAGCACCATGTCGGGATGTGCACTTCTACATCCTGATAAGCTGACATTCCAGTGCAGTGCTGGGGGAATGCTGTATTGTTGGACGTGCCATCCTTCAGATGACATGTTAAAACCAAGGTCCACTCTATCTGTTCAGGTGAACCTTAAAAATCCCACAGCTCTATTGGAATAGAAAAGAGAGTTTCTCCCAGGTCTGCCCAACACAGGGCCCCAAATTAAAATTGATCATTTGTTTCATGGCAGTGCGACACTGCTGTGAACAATCGGGTTGCCTTTTTAAATACAATTGCACAGTCACTTCACTTCACAGTAACTCCTGTGAAGCGTTTTGGGACGTGCTCTCTCAAGGATTATTATTTTTTTGCCATTGGGCCTAATAAAGTTGATTTTGTTTGTTGAACAACTACGGTTAGCATCGACTTCCTCTTCCGATACACCTCTGTACCTGCCAAAGGATATTACGTATATGCACATATAAAAATAATATACTGGAATCATTATTACTTACTGCAAAATACTCTCGGGTCCTTTTGGCCTCTTTCACTGCACCAACCCATGCCTCGAAAATGTTTTTTAACAAAATTTGATCGGAGACATGCTCTATCTTCTTCACGGCCACTTTAAATGAAAAAGTGATAACAGGATGCTAAATGGCTATTTTTAAAAAATAAACACAAAGATATTTTACCACAAAATAAACTGTTTAAAATGTGCATCGCCCAAAGCCAGCAAGGAATCCTGGCTTGTAAGAATACTGATGTAAAATGTGGAATTTATTCTACGTATGTGAGAATTTAATGCCATTGGAATTTTTCCTTGCAAGCAATTAATGATTTAAAAATTGATCAAATAGCCAACTTGTCACTAGCAGAAAATTATAGCTACAGTCATGACAACCATGGCCAAGACTGTTCCCAAAACGTTTTTAAGCGCTCCGGGATGCTGCCCTGCATGAAGGGCACTATATATTTGCCCTTCATGCAGGGCAGCATCCCGGAGCGCTTAAAAACATTTTAAGTATCCTTTTTCATGGGCACAACCAGAGAAAACAAAGAAAAAAAATCTTCTTTCTACTCTACCAAAATCTCAGTGATTCTTTCCACACTTCTTATATTTGCTGAAAGTAATTCACATGGATCAAAACATTGCAACCACATTCAAAGTCGTCACACTGGCAAGTAAATCTTGTCAACACCCCCTCACCCCAAGCATACAAACAAAAAATGGAAAATAATCATTACCAGGATGGCTAGCAGAATTAAATGGTTGTTAGTCAATTGGTGGATCACTTTCCCTGGGTAATATTTCCTAAAAAAAATTGGTCACTAAAGTGAAAGACGCTATACAAATGTAATTTTGTATTGAATTGTAAATCCACGACTGTTTGTGGGACACTGCTGTGTGCAATTGGCTGCTGTGTTTCACCTACAAAATTCAGTCAATCCACTTTACAACATATTTATTCTGTGAAGCGCTTTGAGATGTCTCAACAACATGATAAGGCGCTATATCTAATGCAAGGATTATTAATATTATAATCGGTAATATCTTGCCCCTTGAGTTAGGCTTCCTTGGAAGACTCCCTTTCCTTAATATTCCTAGGAGTCCTGTTTGATTCCCAGTAGGACGAAACCTTGGGCAAGTTTCCTTACTCCACAAGCCTGATAATAATCCCTCAAGAGAAAAACAATAATAAAATTGGTCACATCAATCCACAACTGTTCGCGGGATACTGCTGTGCACAATTGGCTGCCACGTTTTGCCCAAAAATATACAGTTAATTCACTTTAAAGTATATTCTGTGAAGTGCTTTGAGACATCTAGAAGATGTGAAAAGCGCTATATCAAATGCGAGGATTATTATCATTATTATATTCCCAATCATTGTCCTCATCAGACAAGTTAAAGGAATGCCCACATATCTTACTATCAAATCTCCTATTTTTAAACCAGTAAAAAATCGCTTTAAATTATCTTGCAGTTCTCCATTAAATTCAATGATTTTTACTTATAGCAATTAGCAATGCATGGACTAATGCCAGATGCTTAATGCTCAAACTTCAGAAACAGATGGTTTGACCAAACCCTGGTATAATTCAGCGCTTTGGGACGTCCTACTGACGTGAAAGGTGCTATACAATTGTAATTTTGTATTGCATTGTAATTACAATTCATATAAGTTAAAAGTTTATCAGAATTACAAATTATAATTTTTAATAAGAATTCCAGTCTCAAGGAACACATTGAAATTACAGCATGACGGTAAATACACAATTAACTAATCATGCCTCTTCAATTTCAGGAAACCAGTTAATTGCTTTTGGCTTATCCCCAGTACTATCAAACTTCATTTATTATGGAAACACTAAGATCTTATTCCTGACTATTCCTTTAAACAATATAATCTGTTGGATTTTTTTTTAAATCACCATTTTGTTTTATGACACCTGACCTCTGGATTGGAGGCAGTAGACATTCAAAGGAATCTCTGCGTTTGGAATTCCGTCTGGGACATATAATGGTTCTTCAGCTGGTATTTCATTCATTACATTTTCATTTCATTAAAGTCTATTGGCAGACACTTGAAGCTAAATATTTGTCATTACATGTAAATCATTAATGATCTGTAATTACTGAGAAATCCAAGAGAAACATTGCCTGGATATTTTGTTCAATGTTCATTTCTTTAAATGTACAAAAGACCATCATGTGCGGATCATAGATCCTAACCTACAAATGAGTTGAAGGCGAAACCCCAAAACAATAAACACTACTTTAGCAGAGAATTAGAGTACAAATCCAAAGTATACTGTTGCTAAATAAGACATTGGTCAGATAGTATCTGCAGGGAGTTTTGGTCACCTAATCTTAAATAGATTATTATTACTCTTGAGAGAATAGACATATGAGTAACCATGATAATAAACTTGAAAATGCAATGTTATCTTCAATGCTGAGAATACTAAGATCTGTTGCTGTATGAAGGCCTCTGCAGCTACATAATGCCCTTTAACTTGTTAAAGAGTAAATATGCTTTGGTGAAGAGATGGTGAGGAGGACTCAAAAAGGTGGTAGAAGTGGAAGAATCCACCAGAGAAGCTTCCCAAACTGTTAGCAACGTCATTCCTAACATTATTGATTGGAACACCACTGTGGTACAAAGCCAAACTGCTAGAAAAAGATTCCACAACACACTACATTTCCTGAAGTGACCACACTGTCAACCAATCCAAATAATAAAACAAAAACAACAACTTGCATTTATGTTTATATACTTTTCACACGGGGTAACGTCTAGGAGCGCTTAACAGTGGCGGAGCCTAACCTTCCCTGACAATGATGTAAGATCTGAGAGAACATTCTACATGGGTTTTCCTGCAGAATATGCCAATTACGTCATGGACATTTACACAGGACACCATTGGAAAGCCTTATTCAACCCCTGTGATCAAACTATAATTACTGCACATTTGTATAGGCTGGAGAATTTTTTTTACTACATAAAATAAAGTTAAACTCAATTTTTCACCCATTCATTCCAAGTATCAAATGCCAACTTTAATTTCCTTTGAGAATAATGCATGAGTGCTTTTGTTTCATTGTTTATTGGTTGCTTTAATATGCTGTGGAGTTCTGTAGCTTAGTGGTTAGAGCACTCGCCTCACAAGCGAGAGGACCTGGGTTTGATTCCCAGGCAAGGTGAAACGCTAGCCAAGTTTCTTTACTTTACTTTACTTTAGGCCTCTGTTTACTTAGCAGTAAATAGGAACCCGGTTGTTAGTCGATTGGCGGATCGCTTTTCCGGGGGTAATAATCCCCCCAAAAAATAATAATTTGATCACTCAATCCACGACTGTTTGTGGGACACAATTGGCTGAAGCCTTTCGCCCACAAAATATACAGTCAATTCACTTTATAGTATATTTTGTGAAGCGCTTTGAGACATCTCGAAGACGTGATGAGGTATTATACCGAATGCGGGGATTATTTATTATTATTATTAAACTTACAAGCTGCTCTCCCTTGCGGAATTTCACCCATTCCGCCCAGGTATCAAATGCCAACTTTAATTTCCTTTGCGAATAATGTTTGAGTGCTTTTGCTTCATTCCGTTTATTGGCTGCTTTAATACGCTGTACTTCTTTCCGATACTTCATCCATGCCCTGGAGTTAAAAGAGAAGAAAAACTAAATACATTTTAAATTTACAATTGAGGAACTAAATTAAAATAAAGTGGACAATGACGTTGAAAATAAGAGATTCGTAAGCAGAAAGTCAATGCTCTAACATTAACTTCTGGTTTGTGACTGTAATTGAATAATTCATCACCAAATTGATACCATATTCACTATAGATAAAAATATTGAAACATATGTGATCCTGAAAGCCAGTTTGTTATTTTTAATAATAATAATAACCCTACAACAAAGACGCGGTCGAAAAGAAAGGTCTTCAGCAGAGACCTGAAAATGGGAAGGGAGGGAGCGAGACGAAGGGAATGAGGAAGGCAGTTCCAGAGCCTCGGGGCATAGTGGCTGAAGGCACGGCCGCTGAGGGTGGAGCGGAGGACGAGTAGGAGGCCAGACCCGGAGTAACGAAGGCAATGGGTACTGTTTTGAGGAGAGAGGTCCGAGAGGTAGGGGGGTGTAGAGGAGTGCAGGGACTTGAATACAAGGGAGAGGATCTTGAAATCCATCCTCTCTGGGATAGGCAGCCAGTGCAGTCTGGCAAGGACTGGGGTGATCGGGGAGCGGAGTTTCGTGCTGGTGAGAATGCGGGCGGCAGAGTTCTGAATGATTTGGATTTTATGGATGGCAGTGGATGGGAGACCAACCGGCGAGGAGGGCGTTGGAGTAGTCCAGCCGAGAGGTGATAAAGGCATGGACCAGAGTTTCAGCGGCCTTTGGGGAGAGGTATTGATGGAGACGGCCGATGCGTCGGAGGTGGTAGAAGGCGGTGCTGGTGAGGGACCGGATGTGGGGGAGGAAGGATAATTGGGGGTCGAACCTGACGCCTAGGTTGCACAAATAACCCTTGCATTTTATCTAGCGCCTTATCACATTGTTGAGACGTCTCAAAGAGACGTGTATAGTAGTATATTTTGTGGGTGAAATGCGGCAGCCAATTGAGCATTGCAATTTTACTTTCTGGTTTACTACTGAAAGATTTTTTAAAAAACTGACAATGCAGTACGTAGGCTGCTGTAGACAAATTCAATTGAAAACTGGATTTCCATTTGAGACTTGAAATGTATTATAGAATGCTTCTTTCTAGCTGTTTTGTTTTGCTGTTTTTAATGTTGCTGATGTTGTTCTGAATGAGGGGCCATTGCTGTCTCTGTAGCATTTTAAAATGCCCGAAAGCATAAAACAAAATATGAGACATAAAATAGGTTTCTTAGTAAGGAAACATTTCCATTTCCACTGAAGATTTTGTACATGTGTAAATCTAGCATATTCCTTTGTCTCCATTGCAGCTACATCCAAAATAAACATAAAAAGTATTCTCCTCCGGACATTGGTTTTACATCAGTTTTATACTGATACAGTCCTTGTGTAAGTCAGCAACTGGCACTATGCCATTGTTAGAAGCTGAACATCTGAACTTGAATCACTATTTTCTCTGGATATAATACAGCTGTGGTTTCCTCATTAGCCATCCCACTGAGTGCTGTATTTTAAATGAGATGGATTAAACAATTACACCAGCGGGTACCCTTGAGCTTTTTAAAATGGAACAGCAGTAGGTAGCGCCAGTATAAATAGGTCTGTATTCTAAAATATTTTCTAAAACCCTAACTACTTTTCAGCCACAATCGCAGATGATAAGAGTGTATGAAATAAGGAAAGAAAAATACTCTCCTTCCAAAAAAGAAGAATCTCCTTTGCAGAGAATGATAGAAACAAAGCAAACCTCCCTACAAAAATAAAAAAATCCTTTATGTTAAGCAAAAAGGAGAAATAATATTGTATTGCTACCACACATTTCTAACCTAACCAGACATGCCTGAAAACAAATAAGATTAAAAATAATAATAATCCTTACATTTGATATAGCACCTTATCTTGTCGTTGAGACATCTCAAAGCGCTTCACAGAATATACCGTAAAGTGGATCGCCTGTGTATTTTGTGGGTGAAATGCGGCAGCCAATTGTGCACAGAAGTGTCACGCAAGTAACTGTGGCTTGAGTGACCAATTTATTATTATTATTATTATTATTTTGGAGGGATTATTACCCCTGGAAAGGGATCCACCAATCGACAAACAACAACCTGGTTACTGCTAGGTAAACAGAGGCGTGTGGAGCAAGGAAATTTGCTTACAGTTAAACAGTTTTGAAGAATTCAAAGTGAGTAATGTGCTCCCTGACTTTATAATATGCTGACTGGACAGTTCTTTTCCCAAGGGGAATGAAAATAATATCAGGACAAGAGAGCACAGGTTCAGGTTTAGGTTCAAGTTTAAGTCAGACACCCAGAAGTATTTCAATGTACCAAGAGTATTTAACAGTTGGAATATGATACCAGGAAGGGTATTTCTGAAATGAAATTGGACTAATTTCAAAGCATTTAATTGGACTTATTGTAAAATGTAGTGACTGTGTATTTCGTAAGCAAATAAAGCAGCCGATTTTTGAATAGTAAACTCCCATAAGAGGCCATGAACTTCTTGAGAACTAGATGACCAATTTTGTTTGGAGGATTTGCTGGCCTGGACAATGGGAAAAAATCCCTTCTCTTTTCAAATATTGCTTTGGGATCTTTAATATCCATCTGAATGGGTAGATGGGATCTTGATTTAACATCTCACCTGACGGACACCATCTCCAACAATGTAGTACTTCCCTCATCAGGAACAGGAAGGAGAGATGCCAGTCAATGCTGAGAACTAGCATATAGTAGTATACATAACATGCACTCATGTGGTGAAATTGGGGGAATTGCCAGGTCATCCTTCTGACAGCCAGTACTGAATTTGAACAATGAAAGACATCACACAATTCAAATATACTCACCAAAAGCATTTCCTCTTCAAAAGGTTCGTATAAAATAAATATGCTTTCTCGAGATCGTCTATGAGAGGCTGGAAAAATATATTGAACTCATACTTTCTGGCAACTATTGAACTATACAATAACAACAACAAATATTTATCAACATGAAACAATCAGGAGTAAGTTCAACCCCAAGGAGAACCTCATTACTGACCTCTGCCAGCCACCACCCCCCGCCCCACCAGTACACATTTCAATTGACTACACAGGATGTTACAACAAAAATGCCAAGGCTTTTTAATGTAATATTCAAATGTCATCCTGAGATAAATAGAATGTGTAACATGTAAGAGTAAAAACTTTATTTTGCGCTGATAGAGAGCTTAAGTCTCATTAAACATGTTCCTAAATGAGAGAAGTATTTAAAATACAATTAACAAAATATCAATGAGGTTCATTATAAAATAGACATCTGTTATCTCTTGTGATTTTTGGTAATAAACCATAAACATTCTTGCCCACTAAATATGAATAGAATCTTCACATTTCTCCAGTTACTATCCTCTACATACATTGCAAAAAGAATGAACTAGCTCCTTACCGGCTCCTCTGGCTCAGGATCAGGGTCAAAGAGCTGTTTTAAATAACTGCCCACCAAATGTTTCAAGTCTCGTTTAAATTCATCTGTGACAAACATGTCCCTAAATGAGAGAGGAGCAAAGTATTTAAATAATAATAATAATAATAATCCTTGCATTTGATATAGTGCTTTTCACGTCTTCTCGACATCTCAAAGCGCTTCACAGAATGGACTGTAAAGTGAATTGACTGTATATTTGTGGGCGAAACGCGGCAGCCAATTGCGCACAGCAATGTCCCACAAACAGTTGTGGATTGAAAATGACCAATTAATTATTGTTTTGTTTTGGAGGATTATTAGGGGTGTGGAATAAGGAAACTTGCCCAAGGTTTCGCCCTCTGCCTGGAATTGAACCCAGGTGTCCGCTTGCAAGGCAAGTGCTCTAACCACTGAGCTATAGGACTCCACATTAAAGTACAATGAACAAAAATACAATGCAGTCCCTTATAAAATAGGCATCTATTATCTGTGCAAAAAATATGAAAAGTGGAGTAACAGACGGTAAAACAAGAATTGGAAGACATCATCAATAATAGTGTCTTGAGTGATGACCTTGATATTCTTAAATAGTTTTTTTTTTAAAAATTGAAAATTAGTGAAAATTCGTGAATGTCATGAATAAACCCAAACAATAAGAGACGCTTTTACATCAATTTTTTTGATATGTGATCTGATAATTATCACCAGTGATATGTTCATATCACATACCACATTTTTCAATCTGCAGAGTCAAGCTGGTATAGAATCCCAAATTGTAATTGAAAAAGGAATGTAGGAACAACCTGAAACTGATTGTTTCGCAATCATATACTGTAGCCTTTTAACTTTAATAGAAAACACAAAATTTCCAAGCTATATTGAAAACATTCAGGCAATACTTTTTCAAAAGTTGCAATTTATGAGGTATGCATGTATTTATGGAGTCAGGCTCCAGCACTGTTAAGCGCTCCGAGACACTACCCTACGTGGAGGGTGTTATATAAGTGCAAGTTGTTATTGTATTTCATTTAATTTACGAGTGAATTAAATGAAATGCATTCATCCTTCACGTGGTAACCTGAGCTAAAGCCTTGTGTTTGTGTGGCAGAATTCATATTAATTTTTTTAAGTGTAATACAGAAACAGATGACTGAAAATGGCCTTTGGCAGATGTCAACAATTTTGACACAAAGGCAGGCCTAATCAAATTGTTAAATCCTCAAACTGTCAGCTTTTAACTATTTAGCTATTCCCACTAAACAACAGGAGCTGCAACTCAGGAAATAAACCCAAACAATAGCAGATGTAATAACTAAATAGATCACATTCTCAATACTAGCATTTCCATTTATCCTTTTAAATAGTTCACATTCTCAATAATAGTTCAATCACATTAAATTTATCCCCTTTAAATATTTTCAGTTTTGATGCTAGATGCCAAAATAAAAGTGGTTCACTTTCTACCAGTGGGCATCTC